TGTAGTCTGACCCTGTGTCCTGCTGTAGTCTGACCCTGTGTCCTGCTGTAGTCTGACCCTGTGTCCTGCTGTAGTCTGACCCTGTGTCCTGCTGTAGTCTGACCCTGTGTAGTCTGACCCTGTGTCCTGCTGTAGTCTGACCCTGTGTCCTGCTGTAGTCTGACCCTGTGTCCTGCTGTAGTCTGCCCCTGTGTCCTGCTGTAGTCTGACCCTGTGTAGTAGTCTGCCCCTGTGTCCTGCTGTAGTCTGACCCTGTGTCCTGCTGTAGTCTGACCCTGTGTCCTGCTGTAGTCTGACCCTGTGTCCTGCTGTAGTCTGACCCTGTGTCCTGCTGTAGTCTGACCCTGTGTCCTGCTGTAGTCTGACCCTATGTCCTGCTGTAGTCTGACCCTGAGTCCTGCTGTAGTCTGACCCTGTGTCCTGCTGTAGTCTGACCCTGTGTCCTGCTGTAGTCTGACCCTGTGTCCTGCTGTAGTCTGACCCTGTGTAGTCTGACCCTGTGTCCTGCTGTAGTCTGACCCTGTGTCCTGCTGTAGTCTGCCCCTGTGTCCTGCTGTAGTCTGACCCTGTGTCCTGCTGTAGTCTGCCCCTGTGTCCTGCTGTAGTCTGACCCTGTGTCCTGCTGTAGTCTGACCCTGTGTCCTGCTGTAGTCTGACCCTGTGTCCTGCTGTAGTCTGACCCTGTGTAGTCTGACCCTGTGTCCTGCTGTAGTCTGACCCTGTGTCCTGCTGTAGTCTGCCCCTGTGTCCTGCTGTAGTCTGACCCTGTGTCCTGCTGTAGTCTGACCCTGTGTCCTGCTGTAGTCTGACCCTGTGTCCTGCTGTAGTCTGCCCCTGTGTCCTGCTGTAGTCTGACCCTGTGTAGTCTGCCCCTGTGTCCTGCTGTAGTCTGACCCTGTGTCCTGCTGTAGTCTGACCCTGTGCCCTGTGTCCTGCTGTAGTCTGACCCTGTGTCCTGCTGTAGTCTGACCCTGTGTCCTGCTGTAGTCTGACCCTGTGTCCTGCTGTAGTCTGACCCTGTGTCCTGCTGTAGTCTGACCCTGTGTCCTGCTGTAGTCTGACCCTGTGTCCTGCTGTAGTCTGACCCTGTGTCCTGCTGTAGTCTGACCCTGTGTCCTGCTGTAGTCTGACCCTGTGTAGTCTGACCCTGTGTCCTGCTGTAGTCTGACCCTGTGTCCTGCTGTAGTCTGACCCTGTGTCCTGCTGTAGTCTGACCCTGTGTCCTGCTGTAGTCTGCCCCTGTGTCCTGCTGTAGTCTGACCCTGTGTAGTCTGACCCTGTGTCCTGCTGTAGTCTGACCCTGTGTAGTCTGACCCTGTGTCCTGCTGTAGTCTGACCCTGTGTCCTGCTGTAGTCTGACCCTGTGTCCTGCTGTAGTCTGACCCTGTGTAGTCTGACCCTGTGTCCTGCTGTAGTCTGACCCTGTGTAGTCTGTCCCTGTGTCCTGCTGTAGTCTGACCCTGTGTAGTCTGCCCCTGTGTCCTGCTGTAGTCTGACCCTGTGTCCTGCTGTAGTCTGACTCTGTGTCCTGCTGTAGTCTGACCCTGTGTAGTCTGTCCCTGTGTCCTGCTGTAGTCTGACCCTGTGTCCTGCTGTAGTCTGACCCTGTGTCCTGCTGTAGTCTGACCCTGTGTCCTGCTGTAGTCTGACCCTGTGTCCTGCTGTAGTCTGACCCTGTGTAGTCTGACCCTGTGTCCTGCTGTAGTCTGCCCCTGTGTAGTCTGACCCTGTGTCCTGCTGTAGTCTGACCCTGTGTCCTGCTGTAGTCTGACCCTGTGTAGTCTGACCCTGTGTAGTCTGACCCTGTGTCCTGCTGTAGTCTGACCCTGTGTAGTCTGACCCTGTGTAGTCTGACCCTGTGTCCTGCTGTAGTCTGACCCTGTGTAGTCTGACCCTGTGTAGTCTGACCCTGTGTAGTCTGACCCTGTGTAGTCTGACCCTGTGTCCTGCTGTAGTCTGACCCTGTGTAGTCTGACCCTGTGTAGTCTGACCCTGTGTCCTGCTGTAGTCTGACCCTGTGTCCTGCTGTAGTCTGACCCTGTGTCCTGCTGTAGTCTGACCCTGTGTAGTCTGACCCTGTGTCCTGCTGTAGTCTGACCCTGTGTCCTGCTGTAGTCTGACCCTGTGTCCTGCTGTAGTCTGACCCTGTGTAGTCTGACCCTGTGTCCTGCTGTAGTCTGACCCTGTGTAGTCTGACCCTGTGTCCTGCTGTAGTCTGACCCTGTGTAGTCTGACCCTGTGTCCTGCTGTAGTCTGACCCTGTGTCCTGCTGTAGTCTGACCCTGTGTCCTGCTGTAGTCTGACCCTGTGTAGTCTGACCCTGTGTAGTCTGACCCTGTGTCCTGCTGTAGTCTGACCCTGTGTAGTCTGACCCTGTGTCCTGCTGTAGTCTGACCCTGTGTCCTGCTGTAGTCTGACCCTGTGTAGTCTGACCCTGTGTAGTCTGACCCTGTGTAGTCTGACCCTGTGTAGTCTGACCCTGTGTAGTCTGACCCTGTGTAGTCTGACCCTGTGTAGTCTGACCCTGTGTAGTCTGACCCTGTGTCCTTGGTCCTCCTCAGACCATGTCTCAGGAGGAGAGCGCTGTGGAGTCTCAGCCCGTCCCCAACATCGATCACCTTCTCACCAACATCGGGCGAACGGCGGCGTCTCAGGGCGAAGTGTCAGGTAACCCTCATCAGCTCCGGTGGGTTCAGCTTCCTCTGTCCTCTCTCTGGGTCCTGTTAGCCTGTGGATGCTAAAGCTAACTCTCTCTGGATCCTGTTAGCCTGTGGATGCTAAAGCTAACTCTCTCTCTGGATCCTGTTAGCCTGTGGATGCTAAAGCTAACTCTCTCTCTGGGTCCTGTTAGCGTGTGGATGCTAAAGCTAACTCTCTCTCTGGATCCTGTTAGCGTGTGGATGCTAAAGCTAACTCTCTCTCTGGGTCCTGTTAGCGTGTGGATGCTAAAGCTAACTCTCTCTCTGGGTCCTGTTAGCGTGTGGATGCTAAAGCTAACTCTCTTTCTGGGTCCTGTTAGCGTGTGGATGCTAATGCTAACTCTCTCTCTGGATCCTGTTAGCCTGTGGATGCTAAAGCTAACTCTCTCTCTGGATCCTGTTAGCGTGTGGATGCTAATGCTAACTCTCTCTGGATCCTGTTAGTGTGTGGACGCTAACGCTAACTCTCTCTCTGGATCCTGTTAGCGTGTGGACGCTAACGCTAACTCTCTCTCTGGATCCTGTTAGCGTGTGGATGCTAAAGCTAACTCTCTCTCTGGATCCAGTTAGCCTGTGGATGCTAACGCTAACGCTGCTCTGGCTGCTCCTGTCGAGTCTTTAGAGAACCATGTTTAACTTGCAATTCATGTGCATCATAAAGGTTTATTATTGTAATTAATGTTTTTGTGTCAAAGGACTTTCCAAAGTTGTCGATTCACCAGCAACAGATCAGAGAATCAAACAGTTTGAACACAAGAAGTGCAATAATAAAAACATATACGGTAGGAGCCATTGGTCCATAGGGAGTGGGATCAGGACTGAGGCTGTAGACCCAGGACTGAGGCCGTAGACCCAGGACTGAGGCTGTAGACCCAGGACTGAGGCTGTAGACCCAGGACTGAGGCTGTAGACCCAGGACTGAGGCTGTAGACCCAGGACTGAGGCTGTAGACCCAGGACTGAGGCTGTAGATCCAGGACTGAGGCCGTAGACCCAGGACTGAGGCTGTAGACCCAGGACTGAGGCTGTAGACCCAGGACTGAGGCTGTAGACCTTCTTACACGCCTGTAGCTGTTTCTGAATGACTTTCTTAATAACATTATATCAGACATTAATGGATGCTATGAATTGCTGTGCTTCTCCATTTGCTTCCCGCGCTCTGATTAACTTGTCCTTATTGCCCCTTTTGCCCCGCCCCCCTGGTTCTGTCTCCCTCTGCCTATTGTTGCACTAATAAGACCAAAGAGTAGCAGATCTAACCGTGGAAGGCCACCTCTTATTCCTCTCTCTAGTGAAGCACTGTCGGGTGTCCTAACGGCCCACATTCACACATACTGATCTTGACACAGGCCAAGTGGGCGGAGTCTACCACACCATGATGTCACTGATGGACTCTATGCTGTCTGTGCTGGGCAGCTGGAACTGTAGGAAGAAGGCGGACTGTTGCCCTCAGTGTAGCTGCATAGTGTGCAGGACCCCAGCGGTCTTTTGATCAGACTCTAACAAAGACAGGGTTTATATCAGAACATACCAAAGAACGGTGCTACTGTCTGAAAGGCTGTCCGCTGTCTCCCCTCACTGTCTCACACGCTTCCCAAAAGGAGAGATAGTATGGTAGGCTTCCTCTTCCAGGCTTCTCCAGTCACTGCCACCATCTGCACGCAGGGGGGTCTACAGGGGGGTCTACAGGGGGGTCTACAGGGGGCTTGGCTGCCTGACTCACAAATGTAGTCTTTGTGAGTCCAGGCCGGTGTGAAGTGACTCCTCCACTGACTGTAGGGTCCTCTCTTCATGGCCAGCCCCTCTGTGACTCCTGTGACTCCCCTGTCTCTGTCTCTGTCTCTGTCTCTGCCTCTGCCTCTGTCTCTGTCTCTGTCTCTGTCTCTGTCTCTGCCTCTGCCTCTGCCTCTGCCTCTCTGTCTCTGTCTCTGCCTCTGTCTCTGCCTCTGCCTCTGCCTCTGTCTCTGTCTCTGTCTCTGTCTCTCTCTCTGTCTCTGCCTCTGTCTCTGTCTCTGTCTCTGTCTCTGTCTCTGTCTCTGCCTCTGTCTCTGTCTCTGTCTCTGCCTCTGCCTCTGTCTCTGTCTCTGCCTCTGTCTCTGTCTCTGTCTCTGCCTCTGCCTCTGACTCTGCCTCTGTCTCTGTCTCTGTCTCTGTCTCTGTCTCTGTCTCTGTCTCTGCCTCTGTCTCTGTCTCTGTCTCTGTCTCTGTCTCTGCCTCTGCCTCTGTCTCTGTCTCTGCCTCTGCCTCTGCCTCTGTCTCTGTCTCTGTCTCTGTCTCTGCCTCTGTCTCTGTCTCTGTCTCTGTCTCTGTCTCTGCCTCTGTCTCTGCCTCTGCCTCTGCCTCTGCCTCTGTCTCTGCTCTCTGCCTCTGTCTCTGTCTCTGCCTCTGCTCTGTCACTGCCTCTGTCTCTGTCTCTGTCTCTGCCTCTGTCTCTGTCTCTGCCTCTGCCTCTGCCTCTGCCTCTGCCTCTGCCTCTGTCTCTGTCTCTGCCTCTGCCTCTGCCTCTGTCTCTGCCTCTGCCTCTGCCTCTGTCTCTGTCTCTGCCTCTGTCTCTGCCTCTGCCTCTGTCTCTGCCTCTGCCTCTGCCTCTGCCTCTGCCTCTGTCTCTGCCTCTGCCTCTGTCTCTGCCTCTGTCTCTGTCTCTGCCTCTGTCTCTGTCTCTGTCTCTGTCTCTGCCTCTCTGTCTCTGTCTCTGCTTCTGTCTCTGCTCTGTCTCTGTCTCTGTCTCTGCTTCTGTCTCTGTCTCTGCTCTGCCTCTGCTTCTGTCTCTGCTCCTCTGTCTCTGCTCTGTCTCCTCTGTCTCTGTCTCTGCTCTCTGTCTCTGTCTCTGTCTCTGCCTCTGCCTCTGCCTCTGCTCTGTCTCTGCCTCTGCCTCTGTCTCTGTCTCTGCCTCTGTCTCTGTCTCTGTCTCTGTCTCTGCTTCTGTCTCTGCCTCTGTCTCTGTCTCTGCCTCTGCCTCTGTCTCTGCCTCTGTCTCTGCCTCTGCCTCTGCCTCTGTCTCTGTCTCTGCCTCTGCCTCTGTCTCTGCCTCTGCCTCTGTCTCTGCCTCTGTCTCTGTCTCTGTCTCTGTCTCTGCCTCTGCCTCTGCCTCTGCCTCTGTCTCTGCCTCTGTCTCTGTCTCTGTCTCTGTCTCTGCCTCTGCCTCTGCCTCTGCCTCTGCCTCTGCCTCTGTCTCTGCCCCTGCCTCTGCCTCTGTCTGTCTCTGCCTCTGCCTCTGCCTCTGTCTCTGTCTCTGTCTCTGTCTCTGCCTCTGCCTCTGTCTCTGTCTCTGTCTCTGTCTCTGTCTCTGTCTCTGCCTCTGCCTCTGTCTCTGTCTCTGTCTCTGCCTCTGCCTCTGCCTCTGCCTCTGTCTCTGTCTCTGTCTCTGCCTCTGCCTCTCTGTCTCTGTCTCTGCTTCTGCCTCTGTCTCTGTCTCTGCCTCTGCCTCTGTCTCTGCCTCTGTCTCTGTCTCTGCCTCTGCCTCTGCCTCTGCCTCTGTCTCTGCCTCTGTCTCTGTCTCTGCCTCTGTCTCTGTCTCTGTCTCTGCCTCTGTCTCTGCCTCTGTCTCTGTCTCCTCTGTCTCTGCCTCTGTCTCTGTCTCTGCCTCTGCCTCTGCCTCTGCCTCTGTCTCTGCCTCTGTCTCTGTCTCTGCTTCTGTCTCTGCCTCTGTCTCTGTCTCTGCCTCTGCCTCTGCCTCTGCCTCTGTCTCTGCCTCTGTCTCTGTCTCTGCTTCTGTCTCTGCCTCTGTCTCTGTCTCTGCCTCTGCCTCTGTCTCTGCCTCTGCCTCTGCCTCTGTCTCTGTCTCTGCCTCTGCCTCTGTCTCTGTCTCTGCCTCTGCCTCTGTCTCTGCCTCTGCCTCTGCCTCTGTCTCTGCCTCTGCCTCTGCCTCTGCCTCTGTCTCTGTCTCTGTCTCTGCCTCTGTCTCTGTCTCTGCCTCTGCCTCTGCCTCTGTCTCTGCCTCTGTCTCTGCCTCTGTCTCTGCCTCTGTCTCTGCCTCTGTCTCTGCCTCTGTCTCTGCCTCTGTCTCTGTCTCTGCCTCTGTCTCTGTCTCTGCCTCTGTCTCTGCCTCTGCCTCTGCCTCTGTCTCTGTCTCTGCCTCTGCCTCTGTCTCTGCCTCTGCCTCTGTCTCTGCCTCTGCCTCTGTCTCTGTCTCTGCCTCTGTCTCTGTCTCTGTCTCTGCCTCTGTCTCTGCCTCTGTCTCTGTCTCTGCCTCTGTCTCTGTCTCTGTCTCTGTCTCTGCCTCTGCCTCTGCCTCTGTCTCTGTCTCTGCCTCTGCCTCTGTCTCTGTCTCTGTCTCTGCCTCTGCCTCTGCCTCTGTCTCTGTCTCTGCCTCTGCCTCTGCCTCTGTCTCTGTCTCTGTCTCTGTCTCTGCCTCTGCCTCTGCCTCTGTCTCTGTCTCTGCCTCTGCCTCTCTGTCTCTGCTTCTGTCTCTGCCTCTGTCTCTGTCTCTGCTTCTGTCTCTGCCTCTGTCTCTGCCTCTGTCTCTGTCTCTGTCTCTGCCTCTGCCTCTGCCTCTGCCTCTGTCTCTGTCTCTGTCTCTGTCTCTGTCTCTGTCTCTGCCTCTGCCTCTGCCTCTGCCTCTGCCTCTGTCTCTGCCTCTGCCTCTGCCTCTGTCTCTGTCTCTGTCTCTGTCTCTGTCTCTGCCTCTGTCTCTGTCTCTGTCTCTGTCTCTGCCTCTGCCTCTGCCTCTGTCTCTGTCTCTGTCTCTGTCTCTGCCTCTGCCTCTCTGTCTCTGCCTCTGCCTCTGTCTCTGTCTCTGTCTCTGTCTCTGTCTCTGCCTCTGCCTCTGCCTCTGTCTCTGTCTCTGCCTCTGCCTCTCTGTCTCTGCCTCTGTCTCTGCCTCTGCCTCTGCCTCTGTCTCTGCCTCTGTCTCTGTCTCTGTCTCTGCCTCTGTCTCTGCCTCTGTCTCTGTCTCTGCCTCTGTCTCTGCCTCTGCCTCTCTGTCTCTGTCTCTGCCTCTGTCTCTGCCTCTGCCTCTGCCTCTGTCTCTGTCTCTGTCTCTGTCTCTGTCTCTGTCTCTGTCTCTGTCTCTGCCTCTGCCTCTGCCTCTGCCTCTGTCTCTGTCTCTGCCTCTGCCTCTGTCTCTGTCTCTGTCTCTGCCTCTGCTCTGCCTCTGCCTCTGCCTCTGCCTCTGTCTCTGCCTCTGTCTCTGTCTCTGCCTCTGTCTCTGTCTCTGCCTCTGCCTCTGCCTCTGCCTCTGCCTCTGCCTCTGTCTCTGTCTCTGCCTCTGCTCTCTGTCTCTGTCTCTGCCTCTGTCTCTGCCTCTGCCTCTGCCTCTGTCTCTGCCTCTGTCTCTGTCTCTGTCTCTGCCTCTGTCTCTGTCTCTGTCTCTGCCTCTGCCTCTGTCTCTGTCTCTGCCTCTGTTTCTGCCCTGCTCTGCCTCTGCCTCTGCCTCTGTCTCTGCCTCTGCCTCTGCCTCTGCCTCTGCCTCTGCCTCTGTCTCTGTCTCTGCCTCTGCCTCTGCCTCTGCCTCTGCCTCTGCCTCTGCCTCTGCCTCTGCTCTCTGCCTCTGCCTCTGCCTCTGCCTCTGCCTCTGCCTCTGCCTCTGCCTCTGCCTCTGTCTCTGTCTCTGCCTCTGCCTCTGCCTCTGCCTCTGCCTCTGCCTCTGCCTCTGCCTCTGCCTCTGCCTCTGTCTCTGTCTCTGTCTCTGTCTCTGCCTCTGCCTCTGCCTCTGTCTCTGTCTCTGCTCCTGTCTCTGTCTCTGTCTCTGTTCCTGTCTCTGTCTCTGTTCCTGTCTCTGTCTCTGCTCCTGTCTCTGTCTCTGCTCCTGTCTCTGACTCTGTCTCTGTCTCTGTCTCTGTCTCTGTCTCTGCCTCTGTCTCTGTCTCTGTCTCTGTCTCTGTCTCTGTCTCTGTCTCTGTCTCTGTCTCTGCCTCTGTCTCTGTCTCTGTCTCTGTCTCTGTCTCTGCCTCTGTCTCTGCTCCTGTCTCTGTCTCTGTCTCTGTCTCTGTCTCTGTCTCTGTCTCTCTCTGTCTCTGTCTCTGCCTCTGTCTCTGTCTCTGTCTCTGTCTCTGCCTCTGTCTCTGTCTCTGCCTCTGTCTCTGTCTCTGCCTCTGTCTCTGTCTCTGTCTCTGTCTCTGTCTCTGCCTCTGCCTCTGCCTCTGCCTCTGTCTCTGTCTCTGTCTCTGCCTCTGTCTCTGTCTCTGCCTCTGCCTCTGCCTCTGTCTCTGTCTCTGTCTCTGCCTCTGCCTCTGCCTCTGACTCTGCCTCTGTCTCTGTCTCTGTCTCTGCCTCTGCCTCTGTCTCTGTCTCTGTCTCTGCCTCTGTCTCTGTCTCTGTCTCTGTTCCTGTCTCTGTCTCTGTCTCTGTTCCTGTCTCTGTCTCTGCTCCTGTCTGTCCTGGACACGTGTCTGCCTTTGTACCGTCACCATTTGAGCCTGTGTCTCACCCTCATGTCTCCACAGCCGCTCCGTGTTTGTTCATTCATGTGAGAACATTCAGTTTGTCTTGGTCTGCACCTTCATGGATACATTTTACTTCCATCAGTTTAGAGCAGGGGTCTCCCACCTGTGGCTCTGTAGCTACCAGTAGCTCGCCAGCCCCTTCAGGTAGCTCCCCAAAGGATTTAGAGATTTATGATCTTGAATGAATGCATTTTGAGTCACTACATGTCTATTATAAGTGTAAATATATCGTTTTCCAGTTCTATGGCATATTTATATAGCCTGACTCTCGCCAGACCCATGTAGTTCTCTGCACTTCACACATGCGTCTGGGCCAGAAGGTCAGAAGGCGAGGCCTTCTAAAAAAAAAAATCCTTGTATGTGATTGGATAAACCACTTTTCCGTCTTCTTGAATGACGTCTTCCTTCAACCGCTCACATCGAAGCACACGACTCCCATGGGTCGCCATATGCCGGCAAGATTTTCCAGCCCTAAACCCGCGAGAATGCCCACAGAAAAACCACCTAGAATAATGTTTTGGCATCAACATGCAACCATCAACATAGAACCATCAACATCTCGTCTCATAGTGCATTAAAAGTGACATTTGTGTCTTAATTTGTTCGTATTTAAACTTAGACTTCTTGTCCGCCATCTTGGATTCCTCTCGCTGCAGTGTGAGACACGCTTGAGAAGGCGGTGCAAACCCCACGTAACACCGGCAATCCTGATTGGTCAATTAAAAAATAATCTGCTGAAGGAGTTGGCTATGGCCTGGATCCCAGACCCATGTGGTTCAGACGCCTCTGGTGGAGCATGGCGGAACTACAAGTGTCTGGCAGAGCCAGGCTAATATAATGTTCTCTATGTTTTGAGGTAAATATTGCATCAATCGTTTTTATTACAACTGAAAAAAGGAGCAGCCTCTTTTGTGGCATAAAAGTCTCTCTGATTGAAAAAGGTCTGAGATCGCTGGTGTATAGGGCCTTGTGACAGTACCATGTGGAGACACCAGGCCACAACAGGCTGTTTCAAAACCATGTAATCCTTTTCACACTGAGAGCGAGGCTGGTTCTCTCTCTGTACATGGTCCTTTGTTCTCTGACGATGACCTAAAATACATGCATGGGAAAACTAATGATAGAATCCATTTGGGTTCTGCCCTGGGGCAGACTGACAGCAGTGTGGCAGCCAGTCTGTGCCATCGGCCCCTCCCTCCACCCACCACAGACTCACACTGATACTAATAACAATTGCTTTTATATAGAGATTTTTTGGACGTTCAAAGACGCTTCTCATTATTCTTTCACTTGAAACCAAAGTGGTGATAAACTACTGCTGTAGCCGCAGCTGCCCCGGGGCACACTGACAGAAGTGTTTTAAACTTGGATCCATCTTCAGTATTTATCTGTTTTCATTCTTGTGTCGAATCCTTTCACAGATTCACATTCATTGTGTTTGTATTTGTTGCATGGTTTGTAAGAAAACAACAAGTTCTGGACAGTTACAAAGAAAAGGGCGCCATCTTGTCATCGTCCGCCATCTTGTCATCGTCCGCCATTTTGTTTCTGTGTGTAACATAGAGCTCCTTGTCCCTGTGTCTGCAGCATGGCCTGTCGTCTGCTCAAAGATCTCATGATTCACTTCTCTGTCCCTGGGCTCTCCTCCACCCTCAGCCCTCCGCCCTCCCTCCACCATCTTCCATCCTCCACCCTCCCCCACCCTCCCTCCCCCTCCCCTCCCTCCCCCACCCTCCCCTCTGCACTAACCGCATGTTGCAGGTGTCTCTCTGATGTCACTCATTCTGTTTTCTCTCTTTCAGATTCACCAACGAGTGACTCTGCCAAATCCAAGGTGAGATTCCTCTGATGCACAGAACAGCACCAGCATAGGACCAGGGTCAGGACCAGGACCAGGACCAGGACCAGGGTCAGGACCAGGGTCAGGACCAGGGTCAGGACCAGGACCAGGACCAGGACCAGGACCAGGACCAGGGTCAGGACCAGGACCAGGACCAGGACCAGGGTCAGGACCAGGGTCAGGACCAGCACCAGGACCAGGACCAGGGTCAGGACCAGGGTCAGGACCAGGGTCAGGACCAGGGTCAGGACCAGGACCAGGACCAGGGTCAGGACCAGGACCAGGATCAGGACCAAGGTCAGGACCAGGATCAGGACCAGGGTCAGGACCAGGACCAGGACCAGGGTCAGGACCAGGGTCAGGACCAGGGTCAGGACCAGGACCAGGGTCAGGACCAGGGTCAGGACCAGGACCAGGACCAGGACCAGGGTCAGGACCATGGTCAGGACCAGGGTCAGGACCAGGACCAGGGTCAGGACCAGGATCAGGACCAGGGTCAGGACCAGGGTCAGGACCAGGATCAGGACCAGGACCAGGGTCAGGACCAGGGTCAGGACCAGGACCAGGGTCAGGACCAGGGTCAGGACCAGGGTCAGGATCAGGACCAGGGTCAGGACCAGGACCAGGGTCAGGACCAGGGTCAGGACCAGGGTCAGGATCAGGACCAGGACCAGGACCAGGGTCAGGACCAGGACCAGGGTCAGGACCAAGACCAGGGTCAGGACCAGGGTCAGGACCAGGGTCAGGACCAGGACCAGGACCAGGGTCAGGACCAGGGCCAGGACCAGGACCAGGACCAGGGTCAGGACCAGGACCAGGGTCAGGACCAGGACCAGGACCAGTACCAGGGTCAGGACCAGGACCAGTACCAGGGTCAGGACCAGGACCAGGGTCAGGACCAGGACCAGGACCAGGGTCAGGACCAGGGTCAGGACCAGGGCCAGGACCAGGACCAGGACCAGGGTCAGGACCAGGACCAGGGTCAGGACCAGGACCAGGGTCAGGACCAGGACCAGGGTCAGGACCAGGACCAGGGTCAGGACCAGGACCAGGGTCAGGACCAGGACCAGGGTCAGGACCAGGACCAGGGTCAGGACCAGGGTCAGGACCAGGGTCAGGACCAGGACCAGGACCAGGACCAGGGTCAGGACCAGGGTCAGGATCAGGACCAGGGTCAGGACCAGGACCAGGGTCAGGACCAGGACCAGGGTCAGGACCAGGGTCAGGACCAGGACCAGGGTCAGGACCAGGACCAGGACCATGCCCAGGCCGATTCATTTGGAGCAAGTAAAAGACGGTGCTGATAATGAAAGTCAAAGCCACGAATGAACGAATGTTTGTAACAAGTCTAAAGCCCCTTAGCTCTGCTGTTTGTTTCAGCTGCTCTCATCCTGCTGCTGCTGTAGCTCCTGCTGCTGTAGCTGTAGCTCCTGCTGCTGTAGCTCCTGCTGCTGTAGCTCCTGCTGCTGTAGCTCCTGCTGCTGCTGTAGCTCCTGCTGCTGTAGCTGTAGCTCCTGCTGTAGCTCCTGCTGCTGTAGCTGTAGCTCCTGCTGTAGCTCCTGCTGCTGTAGCTCCTGCTGCTGTAGCTGTAGCTCCTGCTCCTGCTGTAGCTACAGCAGCAGGCTGTAGCTGTAGCTCCTGCTGCTGTAGCTCCTGCTGTAGCTCCTGCTGCTGTAGCTGTAGCTCCTGCTTTAGCTTCTGCTGCTGCTGCTGTAGCTCCTGCTGTAGCTCCTGCTGCTGTAGCTCCTGCTGCTGTAGCTCCTGCTGCTGTAGCTCCTGCTGAATGTCCGTCTCAAAGGCATGAAGAACCAACGATGTGTCTCACCTCAGATGTGTCTCTGTGTTTGGCTCCTGGTCCCAGCAGCAGGTGGAGGACTGAGTTTGCTGCAGAAGCTGAAGACCGGTTTTAACTGGATTTGATTTATATGTTTTAAGGAAACAAATGATTAACAAATGTTATAACATGTTTCAGTCGGTTTATTTACTTTATGGAGATTGGGTTTGTCAGCAGCAGCTTTACAAAGTACACAACATGGAAACTACCACACGTTTCATTTACAGAGAATCAAACAGTTTGAACAGAGTAATAATAATAATAATTTAATAATAATAGTAATAGTAATAATAACAAACACATAGGAGCCATTGGTCCAAAGGGAGCGGGACGACCACTGCATCAGAGAGAACCCCTGAGGAGGCGGACGGAGGGTTTAGCATCAGTGACACATTTCCACCAAGAATTGATGTAATTGATGTAGTTCTAAAGCTCTGGAACTGTCCATTTAGACATAAGCCTCTTACAGACTGTCAAACACTAAGTTACTTTGGATTGAGTGGTCTGGAACAGATGGTTAGATTCATTAAAGTAGTTCTAAAGACAGTATTGTTGGATCCTGTTGAACGTGTCTCTCTCCCACAGGGCTCCTGGGGTTCAGGGAAGGACCAATACAGCAGAGAGCTCCTCGTCTCCTCTATCTTTGCTGCAGCCAGCCGCAAAAGGAAGAAGTCCAAGGAAAAGCCACAGCCTAGCAGCTCGGACGACGACCTGGACTCGGTCTTTACCACGAAGGAAACCTCTGGCCATAAGTCTGCAGAGATCGGCCCCGCCCCCGATGCTAAAGCTTGTGTCAAACCTCAGGCTGCGGGAGCAAAGGAGAACGGAAGGACTAGTCTGGAGCTGGCCATGAAAAGCAAAAAGGAGCAAAGAAACTTCCTGAAAGAGCTCGGCCGATACCCCTCCCTCTCGCACTCACCGTCTCCCAACAAGTCTCCCATCTCGCTGCGCCCGGGGAAGCCCTCTGTGTCCGACCCCTCTGTGGACGACAGTGACCTGGGCACCATGAGCTCCGGAGCCTCCGTCCCGTCCTCGCAGCCAAAGAAGCGCAGCTCTGTGAGCGCGGGGGCCGAGGTCAGCTCCATCACCTCCGACTACTCCACCACCTCCTCCATCACCTTCCTGACCGGGGCCGAGTCCAGCGCCCTGAGCCCGGAGCTGCAGGGGGGGGAGGAGGCAGACGACGAGAGGAGCGAGCTGATCAGCGAGGGCCGCCCCACGGAGACGGACAGCGAAGGGGAGTTCCCGGTGTTCGCCCCCAGCGGAGAGAACAGCCAGTCCACGCCCTGCTCCGGGAAGAACAAGACTGAAGGGAAGGAGGCGCGAGGAGAAGGAGGCGCAGGTCTGAGGGCGGAGTCTCGCCGCCTGTTTCCCTCACACAGACTCATAGACGGAGACACTCTTTCCAGGAGGTGGTCTCTGAGGAACAAGACGGACAGTGAGTCGTCTGCGGAGGGCGTCTCTGCCACTGGGGGGCGCTGCACTGACAGATCCTCAGACTCCTCCACACGTCTGTCCCGAGTCCTGGACGTGATGAGGAAAGGCCGCTCCACCAGCAGCCTCAGCTCCTCCAGGAGTGAGAGCGACACCACGTGGCACATGCGGATCACAGAGCGTCTCAAGCTGCGGCTCCGCTCCTCGGCCGACGACATGTTCAGCGTCCAGAAGAACCCCGAGCCTCGCAGCAGCAAGAAGAAGAACATCCGCAGACGCCACACCATGGGGGGTCAGAGGGACTTCGCTGAGCTGTCCGTCATCAAAGACTGGAGGGAGCAGGGCGGCGTGGACCAGGCCGCAGACTTCAGGCCTCGCTTCTCTTCTCCGGACGTGACGCTGAAGGACTGGACGCCCAGAGAGAGCGGCGCCGTGGCTCCTAAAGCGGTGCCTGAGGACGAGGGGCTGGACATGGAGCAGACAGCGCCCCCTGCTGCCTCCTCTGGGCCAGTGTCTGCAGTCAACGGGAGCCGGAGCATAGACGCACACCCTCACAAACTGTCGGGGGCTCAGGTGGTCCGCTCGCGCTTCTATCAGTATCTGTGAAACTCTCTGTACAATTAGCTAAAGTTATTATTGCACAATATTTTTCTACTTCCTGTATCTATGTAAATATGTAAATTAGTCTGTGGAGAGGACAAAGTATCTGTATCTGTGTAAAGAGAGAGAGGAAGTGGCTTTGAGAGAAACCATCTGTGAGAGAAACCATCTGTGAGAGAAACCATGAGTGAGAGAAACCATGAGTGAGAGAAACCATCTGTGAGAGAAACCATGAGTGAGAGAAACCATGAGTGAGAGAAACCATCTGTGAGAGAAACCATCTGTGAGAGAAACCATGAGTGAGAGAAACCATCTGTGAGAGAAACCATGAGTGAGAGAAACCATCTGTGAGAGAAACCATGAGTGAGAGAAACCATCTGTGAGAGAAACCATGAGTGAGAGAAACCATGAGTGAGAGAAACCATCTGTGAGAGAAACCATGAGTGAGAGAAACCATCTGTGAGAGAAACCATGAGTGAGAGAAACCATCTGTGAGAGAAACCATGAGTGAGAGAAACCATCTACAGCTGGTGTATACCCAGTGTCGGAGAAAACAAGGAAAAACATAAGTGTCTAATATCAGTCGATAAAGATAATTATTGATTGTTTTTTACCCTGTTCCAGATAAAAACAGATAAAAACCGGAGAAAAGTGAATGAATGGAAAGACTTTGAATATAAATATAATGAAAACAGTAAACTACATAAAAATACTGGTCCCTGTTAAATAAAACTGAAAGTATTTTGTAATTAAGGAATCATTAGAATCTGTTTGGACTGGACTTTTCTCTAATATCCTCTTTATATCGAGACGGTACAAATGTTTATGTTTTTCTTCCTTCAGTGAAACTATTCTAACATTCTGTGGGCCCTGTTTTAAACCCATGTTGAAAAGACTCAGCCCGAATCACCCGAAAGACTGTTTTTATTAGCACTTAACTATTTTAAAAGAGATTACAGCGAGAGAAACCCTCTGTCTGAGTTTCTCTCTCTGTCTCAGCCACTTCCTGATGAATGTTTGCACCTTTTGGATGAAGAAGAAGAAGAGAGCGAGGCCTTGGGACAGACGCCGCCCTCCACAGAATGTAGAGAGAGGACGGAGCTGATGAAATGTAAATAAGTTTGTACTTGAAAAGAAGACGGTTCTCTCTCCTCAGACCAAGTGCCTCTGTAGTTTAGCCTTTTGTCTGTTGCTCCAGATTTCACACAAACTTCTGAACGGTTTTAATTCAGGCATTCCACTCGTTTCATGCAGAGTTTTCCTGTTTTCATTCCAAATATTGTCACATCCGACTGAGAACGTGAGCCTTCGTGTGCGCTGGAGAAGAGTCGATCAGAGCAGAATGTAAAAAGCATTTGGTAAAGATTTTCCTCAAACACTGGAAATAAATATTCTTTATGAATCTGTGTCTGACGCGTGGGTTTTGTTTAATGTCTCTGTTGTCTGCATTTGACCCGTTCTTACACCAGGGACTTTGTCAGGTCACTGTAGAAGAGAGAGACCAGAGAGAGAGAGCAGAGGGAGAGAGAGCAGAGGGAGACCAGAGAGAGAGAGCAGAGGGAGACCAGAGAGAGAGAGCAGAGGGAGACCAGAGAGAGAGAGCAGAGGGAGACCAGAGAGAGAGAGAGGGGGCAAAGAGGGAGATCAGAGAGAGAGCCATCCTGGGAAAACATTGGGTGAGATAATGTGAGACGGAGATATCGGGCACAGTCAGACTTTATCATCACGTGTTTGTCACGAGTGAGTTTCTGTTCAGTATATTATTTTATTTGTTAATTTCTAAATATTTTGGTGAGCTACCTGAAGGGGGTGGCGAGCTACCTGAAAGGGGGTGGTGAGCTACTGGTGGCTCCCGAGCTACAGGTTGGAGACCAATGGACCAGATAGATCAAAGAGAGAGAGACAAGAAAGACGCTAAAGAGTGAGACCAAAGAGAAACCAGAGAGAGAGACATCTCCAGATCTTCATGGTCTCGGTCAGGACCAGAGCTGGAGGATTTTTGCTTATTGTACATGTTTTTAGTGTTGGGGAAACCGGAGCACTCAGAGGAAACCTACAAACCCAAGACCCATGAGAAGAACATGCAAACTCCACTCAGAAAGACCCTGCATGGGGATTCAAACCCATGACCTTCTTGCTATGAAGCGAGAGGGCTAACCACTCAGCCACCGTGCCTACAGGAGGTATGGGAGCTCTGTCATAGCTTTAGTCTCACTGTAAAAATAACTGAACAGTCTCTGGTTCCAGCGCAGACGTGGCTGTGTATGTACTGCCCTCTAGTGGTGTCTGTCCGTAACTGCAGCAGTGTTGGTCCCACAGACTGCTGCTGTTGTCAGTGTGTGACCATCATGTGCCACTGACCTCCTCCACAACAGACCTGCTGTGAGAGGAACAGACCTCCTCTGTCCCGCACGAGTCAGGCCTGGAGAATGTGCACATGACCCTAATGCTGTCTGCTTCTGCTGACCAGGAGAGACCAGGAGAGACCAGGAGAGACCAGGGCACAGAGACCAGGAGAGACCAGGACCCAGAGACCAGGAGAGACCAGGACCCAGAGACCAGGAGAGACCAGGGCACAGGGACCAGGAGAGACCAGGAGAGACCAGGACCCAGAGACCAGGAGAGACCAGGGCACAGGGACCAGGAGAGACCAGGAGAGACCAGGAGAGACCAGGAGAGACCAGGAGAGACCAGGAGAGACCAGGAGAGACCAGGAGAGACCAGGAGAGACCAGGAGAGACCAGGAGAGACCAGGAGAGACCAGGGCACAGGGACACAGCCAGAGCAGGTAAGAGGCTGGTACCATGTGTTCTCTCTAAACCATAAATGTTCCAGACAGTGCTTTGATCAGAAACTGTCTCTGTGTTGTTCCTTTGGATGTTGTTATGACGTATCTGTAGTTCAGACTAAAGTGGGACATATTTTAAGCCTGTGTCTGTTTTAATGTTGGTGATTATCAAGATTATAAATGTTTAACGATATCAGGATGGAGCAAAATGAATATAGCAAAAGGAAATAATAATAATCCGAGTATAAGAGTGAAGATAAAGAAGTGTTTTGTCTCCTCATGTTTCTGACTGAGGCCGTCACTGATTGTTTTGTTATTTCCATGGGTGCTAAAGCTGAGGATTCTGGATGAGATGGAATCCTCTTAAATAGTTTTACCACAGTTTTATTTTACACTGATCTCATTCATGTGTTTTTGACCAAATTATGGATCAATGTCTGTTTATCATTTCCTGTGTTTTAGTTGTTTTAATCCAGCGCTTACAAGTCAGAGACTGCAAACCAAACGGCCTTTTCAAGCTGCAACCACCTCCTCCTCCCCACCTCCTCCACCTCCTCCACCTCCTCCCCACCTCTCCACCACCTCCTTCTCTCCACCTCCTCCTCCACCTCCTCCTCTTCCCCACCTCCACCTCCTCCTCCCCACCTCCACCTCCTCCATCTCCTCCCTACCTCCTCCACCTCCTCCCCACCTCCTCCTCCTGAACCTCTTCCACCTCCTCGTCCCCACCTCCTCCTCTTCCCCACCTCCACCTCCTCCTCCCCACCTCCTCCACCTCCTCCACCTCCTCCCCACCTCTCCACCACCTCCTTCTCTCCACCTCCTCCTCCACCTCCTCCTCTTCCCCACCTCCACCTCCTCCTCCCCACCTCCACCTCCTCCATCTCCTCCCTACCTCCTCCACCTCCTCCCCACCTCCTCCTCCTGAACCTCTTCCACCTCCTCGTCCCCACCTCCACCTCCTCCTCTTCCCCACCTCCACCTCCTCCTCCCCACCTCCTCCATCTCCTCCCTACCTCCTCCACCTCCTCCCCACCTCCTCCTCCCCACCTCCTCCATCTCCTCCCTACCTCCTCCACCTCCTCCCCACCTCCTCCTCCTCCACCTCCACCTCCTCCCCACCTCCTCCTCCTCCATCTCCTCCCTACCTCCTCCACCTCCTCCTCCTGAACCTCTTCCACCTCCTCCTTCCCACCTCCTCCCCACCTCCTCCTCCTCCACCTCCTCCTGAACCTCTTCCACCTCCTCCTTCCCACCTCCTCCACCTCCTCCCCACCTCTCCACCATCTCCTCCGCACCTCCACCTCCTCCTTCCCACCTTTTCAATCAACTCACAATAAATAAATCTTTACTCATCCTGTCTGTCGTGGTCTCTCCGGAGGAAATACTGCTGTGACTTAGGGCGAGACAGGAACACATTGAACTGACAGATGCGTGTTCTGTCTCTCCCTCCTCCTCCTCCTCAGTCATGTTGGACCTGCACCTCCTGCTGAGCCTCCTGCTGAGCCTGCTGCCCCTGCTGTCGGCCCAGACCTACCACTGGGGTCCTTGTCCCTCCCCCAAAGTCCAGCCCGGCTTCAGTCTGCAGAAGGTAGACCACAGGGTCATGGTTCCACACACACACACACACACACACACAGGCATGTGCTTTATCAATGTAGATGTACCTGTGCTCTCTCCCGTGACAGTACCTTGGTCGCTGGTATGAGATCGAGAAGCTCCCAGCATCCTTTGCAAAAGGAAAGTGCATCGAGGCAAACTTTGACGTTCGCAAAGACGGCAGCATCCAAGTCATCAACCAACAATATTAGTAAGAACTCTGTCTGTGCAGCGTAGGATAGGTTCAAGGCCCGGCTAATGTGTGTGTGTGTGTGTGTGTGTGTCTTCCTGTGTCTGTGTGTGTGTGTCTGTCTGTGTGTGTGTGTGTGTGTGTGTGTGTCTGTGTGTGTGTCTGTCTACCTGTGTCTACCTGTGTGTGTGTGTGTGTGTCTGTGTGTGTGTCTGTCTACCTGTGTCTACCTGTGTGTGTGTGTGTGTGTGTGTGTGTGTCTGTCTACCTGTGTCTACCTGGGTGTGTGTGTCTGTGTGTGTGTGTGTGTGTGTTTCTGTGTGTCTGTGTGTGTGTGTGTGTGTGTGTGTGTGTGTGTGTGTGTGTGTGTGTGTGTGTGTGTGTGTGTGTGTCTGTGTGTGTGTGTCTGTGTGTGTCTGTGTGTGTGTGTGTGTGTGTGTCTGTGTGTGTGTGTCTGTGTGTGTGTGTGTGTGTGTGTTTTCAGCAAAGATAAAGTCCGTAAAGTGGAGGGGACCATGATCATGCCGGATCCCAGAGAGGCGTCCAAACTGGGGGTCAGCTTCTCCTACTGTGAGTCCAACACACTCTTTTATGTACACTGTCCCTTTAAGAACAGAAGGACATGTTTGATGATGTCATAGTTCAGTATCTGTCTGGTCTCTGCAGTCTACAGTTCGTACTGGGTCTAGACCTCGGACTAACTCTGGTCTCCCCACAGTCACCCCGTACAGTCCGTACTGGGTCTAGACCTCGGACTAACTCTGGTCTCCCCACAGTCACCCCCTACAGTCCGTACTGGGTCTAGACCTCGGACTAACTCTGGTCTCCCCACAGTCACCCCGTACAGTTCGTACTGGGTCTAGACCTCGGACTAACTCTGGTCTCCCCACAGTCACCCCCTACAGTCCGTACTGGGTCTAGACCTCGGACTAACTCTGGTCTCCCCACAGTCACCCCGTACAGTCCGTACTGGGTCTAGACCTCGGACTAACTCTGGTCTCCCCACAGTCACCCCGTACAGTTCGTACTGGGTCTAGACCTCGGACTAACTCTGGTCTCCCCACAGTCACCCCCTACAGTCCGTACTGGGTCTAGACCTCGGACTAACTCTGGTCTCCCCACAGTCACCCCCTACAGTCCGTACTGGGTCTAGACCTCGGACTAACTCTGGTCTCCCCACAGTCACCCCGTACAGTCCGTACTGGGTCTAGACCTCGGACTAACTCTGGTCTCCCCACAGTCACCCCCTACAGTCCGTACTGGGTCTAGACCTCGGACTAACTCTGGTCTCCCCACAGTCACCCCGTACAGTCCGTACTGGGTCTAGACCTCGGACTAACTCTGGTCTCCCCACAGTCACCCCGTACAGTCCGTACTGGGTCTAGACCTCGGACTAACTCTGGTCTCCCCACAGTCACCCCGTACAGTTCGTACTGGGTCTAGACCTCGGACTAACTCTGGTCTCCCCACAGTCACCCCGTACAGTTCGTACTGGGTCTAGACCTCGGACTAACTCTGGTCTCCCCACAGTCACCCCCTACAGTCCCGTACTGGGTTCTAGACCTCGGACTAACTCTGGTCTCCCCACAGTCACCCCCTACAGTCCGTACTGGGTCTAGACCTCGGACTAACTCTGGTCTCCCCACAGTCACCCCGTACAGTCCGTACTGGGTCTAGACCTCGGACTAACTCTGGTCTCCCCACAGTCACCCCCTACAGTCCGTACTGGGTCTAGACCTCGGACTAACTCTGGTCTCCCCACAGTCACCCCGTACAGTCCGTACTGGGTCTAGACCTCGGACTAACTCTGGTCTCCCCACAGTCACCCCGTACAGTCCGTACTGGGTCTAGACCTCGGACTAACTCTGGTCTCCCCACAGTCACCCCGTACAGTTCGTACTGGGTCTAGACCTCGGACTAACTCTGGTCTCCCCACAGTCACCCCGTACAGTTCGTACTGGGTCTAGACCTCGGACTAACTCTGGTCTCCCCACAGTCACCCCCTACAGTCCGTACTGGGTCTAGACCTCGGACTAACTCTGGTCTCCCCACAGTCACCCCGTACAGTCCGTACTGGGTCCTGTCCACGGACTACGTGACGGTCTCCGTGGTCTACTCGTGCACGGACGTCCTGCGCCTATTCCATGTGGAGTACGCCTGGGTCCTGGGACGGTCCCGCTTCCTCCCGGCGGAGGCTGTTCGCTACGCCCAGGGCCTGCTGCTGGAGGAGGGGGTCGACCTCTACAAGATGAGGGCCACGGACCAGGAGGGCTGCCAGGACTGACCAGGACCAGGACCAAGGACCAGGAGGGAACAGGACTGACCAAGACCAAGGACCAGGAGGGCTGCCAGGACTGACCAGGACCAGGACGAAGGACCAGGAGGGCTGCCAGGACTGACCAGGACCAGGACGAAGGACCAGGAGGGCTGCCAGGACTGACCAAGACCAAGGACCAGGAGGGCTGCCAGGACTAACCAGGACCAGGACCAAGGACCAGGAGGGAACAGGACTGACCAGGACCAGGACAAAGGACCAGGAGGGAACAGGACTGACCAGGACCAGGACCAAGGACCAGGAGGGAACAGGACTGACCAGGACCAGGACAAAGGACCAGGAGGGACCAGGAGGGACCAGGAGGACTGACCAGGACTGACCAGGACCTGAGACCCAAGGACCAAGACTGACCAGGACCAGGAGGGACCAGGACCAGGAGGGCTGCCAGGAATTGTTGTGTTTTTTATCATTCGACTCTGAATGTTGATAAATTCTGGTTTAAGTTTTCTGTAATAAAATAATTCTGTCTCTCAAATGAGTTTTCTTCAATCACTGTGTCACATCTTTAGATCAGCTCTCAGCCAATCAGCTCTCAGCCAATCAGCTCTCAGCCAATCAGTTCTCAGCCAATCCGCTCTCAGCCAATCAGCTCTCAGCCAATCAGCTCTCAGCCAATCAGCTCTCAGCCAATCAGCTCTCAGCCAATCCGCTCTCAGCCAATCAGCTCTCAGCCAATCAGCTCTCAGCCAATCAGCTCTCAGCCAATCAGCTCTCAGCCAATCCGCTCTCAGCCAATCAGCTCTCAGCCAATCAGCTCTCAGCCAATCCGCTCCAGTTTTCTCTCTGAATAAAAACACCTGAAACACATTAGTTAATCGCTTTTGATTTATTTTGTTTTTATTTTTGGTCACTGCTTTGTATTTTCTAATTATAATGTTTTATATGTACAGCCCTAACCCAAACGGACTAGACTGGACCAGACTGGACTGAAATAGACTAGACTCGTCTCTCATCATTGTTTTACTGTTTTACTTGTGTGTGTGTGTGTGTGTGTGTGTGTGTGTGCGCGTGTGTGTGTGTGTGTGTCAGAGTGTGCATGGGAGCGTGTGTGTGTGTGTGTCAGAGTGTGCATGGGAGCGTGTGTGCGTTTGTCTGTGGTTTGGGATGGGTCTGTTGGGTGGTCGGGGGGAGGGGACATGGGTCGGCGGGATTGTTTTTAACCAAACTGTAAAGCACTTTGTGTTGCATCTTTTGTATGAAAAGCGCTTCATAAATAAAATTTGATTGATTGATTGATTGATAGACTGGACTAGACTGGACTGGACTGGAATAGACAGGACTGGACTAGACTGGACTGGAATAGACCGGACTGGAATAGACTGGACTGGACTGGAATAAACTGGACTGGACTGGAATAGACTGGACTGGACTGGAATAGACCGGACTGGACTGGAATAGACTGGGCTGGACTGGAATAGACTGGACTGGAGTAGAATAGACCGGACTGGAATATACTGGACTGGAATAGACCGGACTAGACCGGACTGGATTGGATGACTTGATAAATACCATCCATCCATCCATCCATTTTCTACCCTTTAATCCATTTCTGGGTCAGGGGGGTGGCAGTCAGAGATGCCACCCAAGTCTCATAGCACCAGCCCCTCACTGACCCTCTGCAGGTGGTGAGTCCACAGGAGGACGGCTGCTCTCTGAGTGTGAGCATAGCCTTGATCTTTCAGTGGGGGCTTTGGGCAAAGTGGGGTTAAGTGTCTTGCCCAAGGACACAACGACAGCAGTCATCAGTGAGAGTTGGTGGAGAAGGTGCAGAGGTGGGAATTGAACCCACGACCTTCTGGCCTTAAGGCCAATGCTCTACCAACTGAGCTACTGTCGTCCCTTGATAAATTGATATCAATTATATGATTAATATGATATAATTGATATATGATATAATATGATTTCATTGGTATTGATAAATACCAATGAAAAGCTAAATTCTTCCCCTCAAAAGCTGTAATTAAAATTGGCTAAACTTCCATTCTTCCCGTCCACAGCGTGATACTCCCCCCCCCCCCCCCCCCAGACACTGAGGGTGAAGAGCAGCGACCAAACACCTCCTGTGTCTCTGTGATGTCACACTTTTCAGACCTGTGCCTTGAAGCTACTGCTGTTGCCGTGGCGATGTTGTTTTGCAGCCGGTCCTCGCCTATGATTGGTGTAAGCCGAGCTGGGGGCGGGACCGAGCGACTCCCTTCCTCACGGGACCAGGACGAGTCTACAGTCACCTCACACACACCACAGGTAAGACACCACTATCAACATTTTTATCAGTTTTGGACATTTTTAAGTTTCTTATTTCTTGTAAATCTTGAAATGTTGTTATTGCCAATTTTGTATTCTGTCTTTAAACTTTAAATGGTTTCATACTGTGTGTTATAGACCAGAGAGAGACCAGAGAGAGACCAGAGAGACCAGAGAGAGACCAGAGAGACCAGAGAGAGACCAGAGAGAGACCAGAGAGAGACCAGAGAGAGACCAGAGAGACCAGAGAGAGACCAGAGAGAGACCAGAGAGAGAGACCAGAGAGGCCATAGAGAGACCAGAGAGAGACCAGAGAGAGACCAGAGAGAGAGACCAGAGAGAGACCAGAGAGAGACCAGAGAGACCAGAGAGAGACCAGAGAGACCAGAGAGAGACCAGAGAGAGACCAGAGAGACCAGAGAGAGAGACCAGAGAGACCAGAGAGAGACCGAGAGAGAGAGACAGAGAGAGAGACCAGAGAGAGACCAGAGAGAGACCAGAGAGAGACCAGAGAGACCAGAGAGAGACCAGAGAGAGACCAGAGAGAGACCAGAGAGAGAGACCAGAGAGAGACCAGAGAGAGACCAGAGAGACCAGAGAGAGACCAGAGAGACCAGAGAGAGACCAGAGAGAGACCAGAGAGACCAGAGAGAGACCAGAGAGACCAGAGAGAGACCAGAGAGACCAGAGAGAGACCAGAGAGAGACCAGAGAGAGACCAGAGAGACCAGAGAGAGACCAGAGAGAGACCAGAGAGAGAGACCAGAGAGGCCAGAGAGAGACCAGAGAGAGACCAGAGAGAGACCAGAGAGAGACCAGAGAGAGACCAGAGAGAGACCAGAGAGAGACCAGAGAGAGACCAGAGAGAGACCAGAGAGAGACCAGAGAGAGACCAGAGAGACCAGAGAGAGACCAGAGAGACCAGAGAGAGACCAGAGCGAGACCAGAGAGAGACCAGAGAGGCCAGAGAGAGACCAGAGAGAGACCAGAGAGAGACCAGAGAGACCAGAGAGAGACCAGAGAGAGACCAGAGAGAGACCAGAGAGAGAGAGAGACCAGAGAGAGAGAGAGACCAGAGAGAGACCAGAGAGAGACCAGAGTGAGACCAGAGAGAGACCAGAGAGAGACCAGAGAGAGACCAGAGAGAGACCAGAGAGAGAGACCAGAGTGAGACCAGAGAGAGACCAGAGAGAGAGACCAGAGAGAGACCAGAGAGAGACCAGAGAGAGACCAGAGAGAGACCAGAGAGAGACCAGAGGGAGACCAGAGAGAGACCAGAGAGAGACCAGAGAGAGACCAGAGACAGAGACCAGAGAGAGACCAGAGAGAGACCAGAGAGAGAGACCAGAGTGAGACCAGAGAGAGACCAGAGAGAGACCAGAGAGAGACCAGAGAGAGAGACCAGAGTGAGACCAGAGAGAGACCAGAGAGAGAGAGACCAGAGAGAGACCAGAGAGAGACCAGAGAGAGACCAGAGAGAGACCAGGGAGAGAGAGACCAGAGAGAGACCAGGGAGAGACCAGAGAGAGACCAGAGAGAGACCAGAGAGAGACCAGAGAGACCAGAGAGAGACCAGAGAGAGACCAGAGAGACCAGAGAGAGACCAGAGAGAGAGAGAGACCAGAGAGAGACCAGAGAGAGACCAGAGAGAGACCAGAGTGAGACCAGAGAGAGACCAGAGAGAGAGACCAGAGAGAGACCAGAGAGAGAGACCAGAGTGAGACCAGAGAGAGAGACCAGAGAGAGAGACCAGAGAGAGAGACCAGAGAGAGACCAGAGAGAGAGACCAGAGAGAGACCAGAGAGAGACCAGAGAGAGACCTACTGTACTGCTATAAAACTAATGTGTTTGATTTCCACAAGATTAAATGTAATTCCTTTGTTATAAAAGTACCGTGTTGTGATGTCACGTGTCTGTACCTGCCTCGTGCAGACTGTACCTTGGTCATTATTTAACATGTTATTGTGGAGGAAACAAAGGGACGCACTTGACTTGGAGGAAACCAGTAGAACAGGTACAACCACAGGAGGAATTCCCTCATGTCTACTTCTATACTGCTCTGGGACCAGCAGGAGCCAGTCCCTGTGCTCCTCAGAGGCCCAGCAGGAGCCAGTCCCTGTGCTCCTCAGAGTCCCAGCAGGAGGCCAGTCCCTGTGCTCCTCAGAGGCCCAGCAGGAGCCAGTCCCTGTGCTCCTCAGAGTCCCAGCAGGAGCCAGTCCCTGTGCTCCTCAGAGTCCCAGCAGGAGCCAGTCCCTGTGCTCCTCAGAGTCCCAGCAGGAGGCCAGTCCCTGTGCTCCTCAGAGTCCCAGCAGGAGCCAGTCCCTGTGCTCCTCAGAGTCCCAGCAGGAGCCAGTCCCTGTGCTCCTCAGAGTCCCAGCAGGAGCCAGTCCCTGTGCTCCTCAGAGTCCCAGCAGGAGCCAGTCCCTGTGCTCCTCAGAGTCCCAGCAGGAGCCAGTCCCTGTGCTCCTCAGAGTCCCAGCAGGAGCCAGTCCCTGTGCTCCTCAGAGTCCCAGCAGGAGGCCAGTCCCTGTGCTCCTCAGAGTCCCAGCAGGAGGCCAGTCCCTGTGCTCCTCAGAGTCCTAGCAGGAGCCAGTCCCTGTGCTCCTCAGAGTCCCAGCAGGAGCCAGTCCCTGTGCTCCTCAGAGTCCCAGCAGTAGGCCAGTCCCTGTGCTCCTCAGAGTCCCAGCTGGAGGCCAGTCCCTGTGCTCCTCAGAGTCCCAGCAGGAGGTCAGTCCCTGTGCTCCTCAGAGTCCCAGCAGGAGGCCAGTCCCTGTGCTCCTCAGAGTCCCAGCAGGAGGCCCGTCCCTGTGCTCCTCAGAGTCCCAGCAGGAGGCCAGTCCCTGTGCTCCTAATAATATAATGTGGAGAAAGTGTGCGGAGGTAAAAACAGTCTGATGTCTTGCAGACCGTAACATGCTCCTGCTCCTCCTCCTCCTCGGGGCTCCTCTGGTCTCGGCTCAGGTCTGGAGGTTTGGCCCCTGTCCACATGTTGAGACGCAGCAGGGCTTCCAAGTGTCCAAGGTGAGAGTTTATTAAACCTGATTGTTCTGTGGTAAAACCGTGTGTGGTCCTGAAACCATGTGTGGTCCTGAAACCATGTGTGGTCCTGAAACCATGTGACCAGAGTTTGTATCTTTAGGATTTCATGCATCTTTAATTTATTTTATTGAACTAATGTTGTTTTCAGACCAGAGCAAATAAAGTGACATGGACTGTCTGTAAAAAACATGTTTTAGTCTGAGAGCGAGAGAGACCAGAGAGAGAGAGAGACCAGAGAGAGAGAGAGACCAGAGAGAGAGACCAGAGAGAGAGAGAGACCAGAGAGAGAGAGAGACCAGAGAGAGACCAGAGAGAGAGACCAGAGAGAGACCAGAGAGACCAGAGAGAGACCAGAGAGAGAGACCAGAGAGAGAGACCAGAGAGAGAGAGAGACCAGAGAGAGAGAGAGACCAGAGAGAGACCAGAGAGAGAGACCAGAGAGAGACCAGAGAGACCAGAGAGAGACCAGAGAGACCAGAGAGAGACCAGAGAAAGACCAGAGAGAGACCAGAGAGAG